AGGTCGCTGGTTCAAATCCGGCTCGAAGGATAGGCTATTTTTGGTTCTCTAAAACTCAAATTGTATGCAACTTGCGGAAGAATTACAAATTGCGCTTATAAAATACTGTTGTTCCTTCGATAGCTCAGTTGGTAGAGCGGGGGACTGTAGAGGAAATGTTGTTATCCCTAGGTCGCTGGTTCAAATCCGGCTCGAAGGATAGGCTATTTTTGGTTCTCTAAAACTCAAATTGTATGCAACTTGCAGAAGAATTACAAATTGCGCTTATAAAATACTGTTAATTGTTCCTTCGATAGCTCAGTTGGTAGAGCGGGGGACTGTAGGCAATGCTGTTATCCCTAGGTCGCTGGTTCGAATCCGGCTCGAAGGATATCTTTTTGTTTTCTTTAATCTCTAATTATTCTGTGCGGAACGAGAGCATCAGATTTTTTTTCTCTCATTTGCATGTTTAACACATTGAATCATATTTACCTGTGCTGCTATTTTTTAAAGAAYATATTTCTCATACTGATATAATACAGCTCCATCAAACTGACATCTAGTTGGTAAACGGCAAAGTGTTCTATCAATTGCCCTATCGCATACTTACGTCACACCAAAACATTTTATTAGTTTTAACGCTAAGGATTATGGTCGCCAGATCAGATACCAAATAAAATGTATATGAGCTATCATTGAAAAATGACATACGTCAAAACTCGATACACTTAACACTTAGCCCCTTTGCCTGCCCTACACTCCAACAACATAAACAAAATATACAATATACTTACTGTAGTAAAGAAGAAATGCCATGATGAAGTTTATTTACCATCAGAGGCGGATACAAAAGGGATCAAAAGGGTCGATTAGGTTTCAGAGGTTTACTAGACACTACCATTTTTAGGCTTCAGAAAAATAGAAACAGACAGAACATAAAAGGACATAAAAGAAAGGAGTTGATGAACTGAATGGAAGTCACGTTCATTTGACCAACGAAAGCGCCATTCTAGCTTATAAAACAAATCTTACCCACAGCTCCAAAGTCTATATCTCTAATATATTACTTAATAAATACAACACTCGGACAAACGGGCCACTTAAAGTTTCATGTTCGCAAACTATCTTCAGACCAAATAATGAAAACAAGGGGCCGTTTGGCGTGCGCATGCGCCAGTCTGTTGAAAATTCATTGAAATTCATTAGTGATTCACTTCAAGCGAGAAATTACAACGACACGAAGGACAATTTCCAAAAATGTTTTTGGCTGTTTTTGACCCTGAAATGTTCTGTCATGACTCAAGAACACTCATAAATAGTGTAACCTACAACGAGGAAAAACACTGGCGTTATTGGACTGATTGGGACCGTTTAAAATCTTATTTAACAAATGTTGATATTAATGACTTTGTGTTTACAATATCGGAGGCTGCAGTGGTTTATATACGCAACTACTATTCCAGTTTTTGCTGAGTGCTGGTCAAGATTCAACGCAGGTCATGAAGTAAATGGTAAATGTACACATGGAGTAATATAATTAGGCGTTGTTTAGTAACATCGACCTCGAAATGTTCGAAAGACAGTTTCTTGAAGTGTACAATATTTACGCTTAAATATTATTAACTGTTACATGAAATACTACTTTCCTTTTATATACCACCAGGACTCATTAGAATAAGGCTTCCAATATCAAGACTTATGCTTTGCAAATGGTTTGATAATGTTTTCTTGTCTATGAAAAATGTGGAACGGTGTTAATTCTGCAAATTCTTACGTGCTGTTGAGCACTCACGACAAATTTAGCATTCTTTTGGCTGAAGAGTTGAGCTTGTTTGAATCAAGTTATCATAAATATCTATGTGTAGTT